CCGGGCAGGGGTTTCTCGCTGCAGTCGTTCGGGAGCTGTGCGCTGAGGAGGAGCCGCCCGTGTCCCGGCGGTGAGGAGCTGGTGCTTGTCCTCCAAGTGAGAATGAGTAAGCCCATCAAGTGTTGCAGCCGGAACTGGCCGCGGCTGCCTGCCCCGTGGAGCTCACCTGGGGAGGATGAGGAGGCTCCTTCGGGGGTTTCCTGCTTCAGGACCTCGGCTGTTGCCTTCTGGCTGCGGGAGCTTCGCTGCTGCCCTGTGTGTTAAAGGTCTGATGGTGCTGCTGGAGGGAGCACGTTTCCCTCCGTGACATGAGGAGCTGGGGGCTTGTCTTGCTCCTGGCCAGCTGCTCCCTCCTGCTGCCGTGGCTGCGATGTGCTGTCCTGTTAGTGAGACAGTTCTTTGCTGGTTTAGAGTCTTAGGCTCAGCATAGACTGCGCCGTGTACGTGTGCCAGGCATCTCAGGCTCTTGTCTCGGGCTGCAAGACTGTGTCTGGAGAGTGGTGAAGTTGGAGCAGAAGCCAGTGCCTTGTGTGGCAAGGGTGAGCCAGACACTGGGCACCCGTCGGGGCAGAAGGGACATGGGTTGGGTACACGTGGAGGGCGCCTAGGGTGCCTGCAGCCTGGCTAAGCTGTGCCTTGGAGAGGAAGGGTAAGGTTTGCCTGCTGGGAAGCAGCTCCAGGCTGATGCCATGGGATGCAGGACGTGTTTCATGCTTCCCTGATGCTGCAGCACTTATGCTACATCCTTTTATTGTTTCTCCGTGGCATCCGCATTGATGGCTTGGTCACGTAATCGCGTTACTTAAAAGCACCCTCATGTTCAGCTGCTTTTATCCCCAGGATATCACAGAACCACCTCCTTTGGAGCTCTGCAGAGGGAAGCCTTGTAGGTGCTTTGCTGCTCTTTGCTTACAGACAACCCTGTTGATTTTGCCTGAAGTGCCCACTGTGCTCTGCCTAAGGAAGGGATGTGTTATCTGTCTGCAGAGACCAGGCGGTGCTCTGGGCTTGCTCCTCACTCCTGCCTGGGAGCAATCCAGCTTGGGAGCTCTGGCTGGACTAGAGGAGGCTCCATGCCCATTGTAGTCTGTGTGAAACACTCCTTTAGGTGCACGTTTGTGACCTTATGGTGTCTGTCTGTGTGCTGTCATGCTACCAATGGTAGTAACATTAGTGTGGCGGCATATGTAGATAGCTGAAGTACATCTCTTTCTCTCTAGCTAGGGCTGGATGAGTAGATCACTGTTAAAAGCAGCAGCCTCCCCTCCCTGTACAGAGAGTGTGTGCACATGTGCGAGTCATGCGATAATCTGTGTGTGTGTGAGGCACGTCCTGCTGCAAGTGCATTTGTGGGATATTAAGTGTACAGAAGCTATAAGCAGGAGGAACACAAGCTCGTAACGCAAAGCACACCTCACCTGATGCTCATGGGAAGGGCAGTGGCTGCCCAGGAGAAGCCCAGGATGGGGAGCTCGTGTGTTGAGTGAATTGTGCAGCCTCAGGTAAGGGCCAAGCGCTGCAGTTGGGTTTCCAGGCTCTCCTCTTGTGCTGGACCTGGCTGGTGGTGCCCCTGCCACGAGGGTGTTGGGCTGGAGCAGGGATTGTTCCCAGTGGATGTTGCCTGTGCTTCAGCAGGAAGGGGTTAAGCCGAAGTTGGTGTTTATGTAACCAAAGAGGGAACTCCCAGAGATGAGTCCTTGGCTATCTCATGTGTTGATGCATCAGAAGGGTTTAAAGAAAGCCCAGCTTGTTGCTTGCTTGCACTGTAATTACGTCGCTGGAATCCTGTGCTTCAGAGTTTCCCTGGCTGCCTGTTGGGAGGGGGGGAGGCAGGAAGGGATTTGCTTTCCCTGATGATTGACTTGCCCTTTGGAAGCCTGTTTTGACCCTGAGAAGATGGAGACTGGCCGCAGCTAGATGTGGGAGGTAAGCAAGGTGTGCTGGGCTCCCTTCTAGCGCTACAGCCTCGGAAGTGCTGCTTGAACCTTGCTCACAGAGTGGGATTAAGCTAATGGTCAGGTTGGGCTGAGGAAGGAGGCTCTGGGGTGGGTCTGTAGGGGCTGCTGGAGGCGGTCCTGCTGCCTCCCACCTTGTGAAGCACAAGCTTGGCAAATTCCTGTTTCATGAGTTGCTTTCTGAGGGCACGGGGGTGCCCCAGCCCCTTGTGCTGAGCCAGCACCTTGGGATTCTTCCTTCTTCTTTGGTCAGAGAAACTCTGTGCCTGGTTTTGGGTGAGCTTCTTGCTTGGGGAAGAAGCCTGTATGAGTCCGTGCGATTCCAAGAAGCCTCTGAGTCAGGGCTCCTCTGTTCCTGGAGAAGGTTTCCCTTCCTGGAAGGGCTCACGCAGCGGTGCCTGGGTTGTGCTGGTGGCTCTGAGTCATCTCATGGGCTCTCTGTGTTACTGTTCTCTTACAGAACAGTTAAAACTTCCAGCACTTCTGGTGGTGGCTCTGTTCCTGTGCAGTCTCCCTCAGGTGCCCTGTGCCCGGCTGCAGCCGCTCCTCCTTCCACTTGCTCGGGATCTGCCTGGCAAACATTCCCTGTCATCCGCAGGCCGGGCTGATCCCAGCTCCGCCTGTTCTCTGGGAAGCTTTTCCAATGGGAATGGAGCCTCTGATGACTCGGCTCTGAGCTGTCCCGAGCCGGCTTTGCCTGGAGAAGGCGTGTGGCAACACTCTGGGATTGCCGCTTCTCGCAGCGATACCGACCTGCGTGTTCCCGTGCTGGGAAGCTGGACCACGCTCATCTAATGGCAGTGAGCATGTAGGTTTTTAGGTCACAGCCAGCGGGTCTTGTGAGCAGGAACGTGCTGGGAGCCGGGCTGAAGGTGAACTTTGATTCAGCACCACTGATAATCCTGCCTCGTGTGTTGTTTGCATTGTAACAGGTGCAGCCTGATACGGCTAAATAATGGATCGGTTTAGCTTTATTCTTGCACTGGCTGAGAGGAGAGAGGACAGGGAGAGGGGAACAGAAACCTTTGGATCAGGTCTCCCACTGCCTCCCTCCCTTGCAGAGATAAGCTCGCTTGTAGCAGTGGGGTCGGACGCCTTTGGGGTTGCCAGTCATCCCACTAGAAGTGTAGATACCAGCCACCACGTTTCACCCTCTCGTGGAGGCTGCATCAGCTGCTCCAGTGCCTTAACTCGTTTCTGTGTTCTGAGTAATGCTGTGAACGCCCCAAAGGTGCTTGCTTTTTCCTGCTCCAGCTATTAGCTGCGGCTGCTGGGCTGCGGGACCTGCTTGCTCTTTAAGCTGAGATGAAAAGGTCCGTTTCCTCTGCTCTTTTCAGTCTTTGTTTTGCTGGGCGCTGGAATGTCATGCAGTAATTTGGGAATGAGACCATTTCCTTAAGCGATGTAATTTAAAGACATCTTGGTTTCCAATTGGTTTGATTAATAACTGTATTAAAGTCAGAGCTAGCACAGTAAGACGCTTCAGACACTTCTCCGGTGAGATGGTTGGTGTGTTGTGTGTGTAACATTGAAGTTAAGCAATGAATTTTAGTGCTAGATTTGTCACTCCATTATCTCTGTGAGAGAGCATTTTTGTTACAGATGGGGGGACAGGGAGCAGGGCTCCCATGACCGGTGCATGTCCAGATGGCTTCAGCACACACTGCTCATGGCACAGGACCCAGCTCAACAGGTCCTGCTCAGGGCTGATGCTTCTGCTCACAGCTGCACAGGGGGATCCTCCATCATTGCTGTTCTTGTTCTAAGATTTGCCTTAAGCCCAGCTTCAAAATACTGTTTCTAGCGGCCATCCTGTGCTTCGAGGCTGGTGACTTGTTCTGCAGGAGGCTGACCCAGGGAAGCCTGTGCCTTTTCAACCAATCTCTTTGCTCTGCCTGGGGTTACACAATGTGCAGAAAAGGGAACAGTCTTCCTGCTTTTTCACAGCAGCTGCCCTGGTTTGCTTCCCTCTGGGACCTTCCTTCTATCCAGCCATCCTTCATTCCAGTCTCAAGAGGATCCTGAAGTGCTCGTTGAAACCCTCTGGGTGCTGCTGAGGGCCCCTGAGGCTTCTGTGGGGCTCTGCCACCCTTGTGATGCAGCAGGAGCCACGTAGGCAGCAGGGAGATGGGGTTGACAGTGCTGTGAGTGGCATGGGATTGTCTTTAATAGCTGAGTACTTGTTTGTGTTGGTGCTTTTCTTGCTCTTACAAGCATTGTGTGAGGCAGCTGGGATGTTTCACTCGGTGGATGCCCTTTAAGGGACTGGGACACCTCCACTCACTCTCAGTGCCAAGACAACTCATTCTGAAAGCACTGGATAGCTGTTAAGGGCTGCCAGCAGCAGAGGCTGGGAGCGTTGTTCATCAAAACATAGGTGGGCTCAGTACTTTAACTCAGGAAGACCTTTGGCAGCTGCCCCACGACCAGGTGATGGTACTGTTTGCTTTGGGGTAGTGTTGGGAATGCAGTCCCCATGCCCCAAATGTTCCCTGTGCTTTTGACAGTTGATCTAACTGGATACAGGGTGAAGAAAAGCAGCTTGGTTTAACAAAGGGTTAAACTGAGCATTTGGTAGAGGTGGTGTAGATTCAGTTCTAGGGTGTCTGATTGAAATCCTGAATTTCTCCTTTTCGATGGGGCCAGATGGAACTCCTCAACAGCACTGAATTTAAGTAGAATTAGTTTGATTTATCTTTTTGAGGCCAAATATAAATTGTGAAGAGGAATTAACTTGCAGCAGGGATTTGATAAGAATAAAATCCAATGTATTATTCTCTGCCATTTGCAGAAATCCTTCTGTTCAAGTCCAGACTCTAAGCATTAGCTCTTACTGTGATTAAAAATTGCTTCCAGTGGTGAAGGTTCTGCTGTGGCACTGTTGCTAACCTGGCTCTATTGAACTTACTGTTAAAACCAGGCAAGCAAGTACCATGTGGTGGAGGTTAAAAAGGAGAACGTGTTTGTTTCTGCTCTGTTGCTGATGCTCTCACATCACAAAATGCCTTTGGAGATCACTGACACTGTATTTGTCTTGCTGCGCAGGGCCGTGCGTCTGTGACTCTTCAGGGTCTGAACCTCAAGAGCCCTTTTACTCTCTCATGTGATATTGGGAGCTTCAGGCCTTTCCTAAGCCCAAATAAACACAGATGGTTCAAGCTGAGGAGTTTTGGTGCATCCCACGTTATCGTAATCAAGAATAATCCAGAACCGCGGCATCAAGTGTATCTCGTTTCGCATTACAGAGTCCTGGACCTTCCGACCATCCAGCCTTCTCCAAGGTGATGACTCCAGTCTCCTGAGACGTTGGAAAACCTAGTTTGGAAGAAGAGTAAAGATACAGTTGATGCTGAACTACGTGAGTGCTCCGATTATTTTGTTTACGATAACGCCGTTTGCACCAGGGATCCCGATCCAGCTCGGGTTGCACAAGGGTCATTACCTCAGAGCTGCTGTGCAGTGGGGTTTCTCCAGCGGAGATGTTACTCATACGTTTCCAGCAGGGATGATGCTGGTGGTGTTGCAAGGAGTGGAGGATTCTATAAGGCATAATCAAATATGAGGTCAGGGATGCGGAATGAACAGAACAAGGAGCATGTGGGGCTCAGGACTTTGTTCTGTTCAGCTGGCTGGGCCTGGCAGTGCTCCTCTGTCAGTGGAAGCTTGTAGTGCAGAGATGCCAAGTTTGCTGCAAGACTTCTCGCTTTATCTGTTGCTATCTCTGATCTGGGTGACAGGTACTAGATGAATTAATGCAATGAGATCACGCTTGTGTCCACAGAAAGGGTGGGACTGCCAGAGGGTGAACTTCATTCAAAGCACAGTGATTTATCAGTCTCTTACATGGTGAAACACTGGGACTCTTAAGTGTAACCCCAAAATATTTTCCCTGTCTGCTGTAGTAACCTGTAAGGGAAGACTCCTGGGGCTTGGCTTTGACTTGCTCAGAGTAAGGAAATGGATCTGTGTGCAGTTCCTCCTCTCCCCCCCCACTCCCAATAGAAATCCCTTGGAACAGTTGGAGCAGCAGCATTTAGTGGCTAGAGCTTTGTGAAAGTCTTTGAAACCCTTTTCCAAGAGATAAAGGTGAAGAGGAGGTGTATTGGGAACAAAAGTTGAGTTTGATGGAGCTGGTTGATGCAGTGTGTGGAGGCCAGGCTGGCAGGTTTTATCCTGCTAAACTGAAACAAGACTTTCCTTTGGGGAAAAGGTGCAGTAGTCAAAGGCTTGAATTAGTTCATAGGTATTGGTTCTGCAATGCCACCACAAACTCTAGATTTCCAAGCAGCAGAAAATGCATGTTGGAAATCAGGTTTTCTGCCATAAGTAGGAGCGAGTCAAGCTTGTACTTGTTTGCATTGAATTGTAGTGATGTGTGGACCTTGGATACTTGGATGCAAATCATGAGATTCACATTCAATAGGTTAAATTGCTCTTTGCATGGAGTGGTGGAGCGAGGGAGCACATGTATTGGCACCGCGGTGTTTCCTTCCATTGGAATATTCATTGAAGGCAGGTAATAGTCTGCACTGGTTCCTGCACGTGGGGACTGAAGGGATAGTTTTGGATGTTGGATTCCAAGTTTCAGCTGTGTTGGATGTAGATAGATGGAGATGTCATAAAAAGGTTAGAGCCTAAAGAGGGATAAATAGAGAGGGGGCACTTATTTTAAGACTCGGCTTACATTTGTAGGCAAATCCCTGTTAAATGAACTCAATCTCACAGTAAGTGGCATTTTTGTCTTCTGCCACCTTGCTGGAAAAGGTGAAAGGTGTTCTCTTTAGGGTCAGTTTTGTGTATTCTTGGCTGTTTGAGGAACAGATTTGAGCTTCAGTTACTCGGTGAGCTGGTGGTGGTGCCTGGTGGGCAGTCTTCCATGAATGAACCCCCAAAAGCCGATAGGCTGAATCAGAAGCAGGCATCCACACAGAAGGATAACTTGGGCATTTTCTTCCAGAGATTTTTTGGAATATGTTAATTTGCAAACTTGTTTTTGCTGTAAAACAAGCTTCAATTATGTTGACTTGTTCCCACTATGTGTCTGAAACAAGTGTTGTAGGAGACGTTGCTTTGAATAATGAGGCTGATTTATACCTTCCAAAATGCATTAAGCCTCCAGCCCACAACTGGTCTATCAGTAATGAGCCATAGCTTTTTTGTAGAAACACAAGTAGGCAGAGACATGAGTGCGTCAGGAGGTGAAAGCCTTCCAGTGCAACATAAGGGGTAGTGGAAGAAACTAACTCGGTTGCTCATCAGATGTGATCTTCTTTCTCTTCCAAGAGCCAAGGATGAAGCGACGAGCATCAGACAGAGGAGCTGGGGAAACATCCACTAAGGCAAAAGCTCTTTGTACAGGGATTTCTGGAAATAATGCCAAGAGAGCGGGCCCTTTTATACTAGGTAAGCAGGGAGGGGAGGTGGTTCGTCAGTGTTGCAAGGCTGATGATAAAGGCACTATAAAACGAGGCAAAGCAGATGCAGAATGTAGCATCTTAGAGTACAGTTCCCTTGATGGAGAAGAGCAGCAGCCCTTGGAGCTTCTGCAGCTCTGGTCAGGCTGAGATCTGTAATATGAATACCACAGGGCAGGCATGGCTTTAAACTTTGTCAGTAAATTCATTGAGGGAACTTTTTGATTAGAGCTCCAGGGAGATGTTTGACCCTGCTTGCCTGCAATGTGCTGTCAGATCAGCATGTGGGCATCTTAATAATGCTCTGGTGGTCCTTATAAGTGGTGTGTGCCAAGGCCAGGCCACTCTGCTAGCTTTTAAGAGCTGCTAGAATAAGTTGTATAAACTGTCAAAACCCTGATGGACTTCACAATGGAAACCAATGGATAATCAACTGGAAGCTGATTGATCTAGACTGAAAAGTGTTAACCTGAAGTTGGGATAATCTACGCCCCGTGCAGAGGTGGCAGTTGGGTTCAGAGGTGTGGTAACAGCAGTTGCCATGGGTGTTGCTGGTAAATGGGGAAGCCTTATGGTTCAGGCATGCAGAAATTTGAATTTCTGAAAGCAGCTCTGCCCTGTGTGGGCTCTGTTTCAGTGTTTCTCCAGTGAACAAATGAAACCTTGTGCAAAAAGCTCCGAGTTCAGTTTCTTTTCTTCAGACAGTGATTTGTGGAAATGTGCTTAATCTCTGGGGAAAGAAAAAGGAACTTAAAGTAACCTAAAGTGCGTGACACTTGCCTACTGATGTAACCCTGAATTAGTCATTGCTGCTTAAAGGAAAACAAGTCTGTTTTTGCTTTGTGCTGTTAGGTCCACGTTTAGGTAACTCCCCTGTGCCAAGTATTGTTCAGTGTTTGGCAAGAAAGGATGGGACAGATGACTTTTATCAGCTGAAGGTAAGCAAACGGGGGGGTGCCAGACCTTTTGGGCTCTTCAGCTTCTTCGGCAGGAGCACTTGCAGTGGTGTGTGGTATAGGCTGCACCAGGGTGCTGTCAGGAACGGCTGCAGTTCTGCCAAGCTTAGATCTGGTGTCAAGATTAGCCCTGAGGTGAGGCCTCTGTGGCTGCTGTGCTGCTCTCCTCTGATCTGCTCCACTGGCCTGAAGTGGGAGTGACTCCAATGGGGAGTAAAAATCACCTGGGATATTTGCAAAGAGCACCTGAGCTGCTTCTCTGTGTTAAATCATAGACTCATGGAACGGGATGGGTTGGCAGGGACCTTAGATCATCTAGTGCCACCCCCTCAAATCGAGCTCGTGCTGTGCATTCTGCACAGATGTTAGTTCAGACATTGTGCGGCCAGTATGCGAACATGAGAGCAATTGCATCAGCTGTTAAACATGTGGGAATACCTAAAATGAGAGTGGTTTGGGGGCATTTGGGTTTTTCTGGGAACTGTAAAGGTCTTTTCCCTTTTCCTGAAGATTCTCACTTTAGAAGAAAGGGGTGATAAAGGAATAGAAACCCAGGAGGAGCGACAGGGGAAGATGCTGCTGCACACGGAGTATTCTCTCCTTTCCCTGCTCCATAACCAGGAAGGAGTGGTTCATCACCATGGGCTCTTTCAGGTACAGCTGGTCACCATCCACGTTGGGGGAATGCCAGTGATTGCTTCAGGCTTGAGTTGCTTTTGTTTAATGTACAGTTCGTGCTGACCCCATTCTTGCGTGTAAAGAATTACCAGTGCACACTGAGGTTAACCACTGCTGCTTCAAACAAGTGGGTGGAAGGGGCTTTTGAGAGTTAAATGGGATGTAACAGGGTTTGGGATTTGGGAAATGTGAGGGCATTTAAAGATGGGGCAGATGCTCAGGAGCATCCCCTTCAAAGAGGACGATAGCTGCTTCACTGGCAAATTAATCTGTGCCCACAGAGCACCCTTTGGAACTGAATTTGTGCTTTTTTGTACTGGCTTATGATGACTTGGAAGAGGGGACAAATTGCCAAGAAACTGTTTCATCAAGTTAAACTAGTCAGTGTGCCCATCAGGGTGTTGTGTGAGTGAATTGTGTTGCTGATAATGCCTTCAGAGCTGTTTATGGATGCTATGAGCTGCTAGGCGTTACTGGTTTGGATGTTGGTGTTGCTATGCTTGCTGGTTAAATCTTATCGACACAGTTTTCACTTGAGGTCATCTGTACCATAATTTTAATAAGCCAAATGTCCAACTCTGCCGTGTCCTGCTTCATGTTATGGAAGAACTGCTAATTCCTGTTCTCATTACTAACATGTTGGATCCCTGGTATTCAGAGTGTGCACCAATATACAGTTATTCTAGGTCTTATCAAAAGCTCTCTGTGTGTATAAACAGTATCATTGCTGACAGAAGCCAGCCAGAGTTTCTCTATCTTTTTTAATCAGAGATCATGTATCTTCTCTTTGAAATCCCAACTCGGGCAAAGATCTAGCACTATGATTGCATTTGCTTGTTTTGAGATCACCACGTAGTTACTGATTCTCCAGTGCTCTGTATGTAAGTACATAATCCCAGAGAGCTTCCCTGAACTATTGCTCATGTGTTTGCCTCACTTAGGACCGAGCTTGTGAAATCATAGAAGATCTAGAAGCAAACAGAATGGTCAGGAAAATGAAGAAGC